GGTGGAATGTCCCTCTGTGTCCTCAAGTCTAAGCCCTCGTTCACACTTGAACGTTTTGTAGCGCGTTCTACGCTCGACGAACGCTCTACAAAACGCTCAAACATCTAAATCCCATTGTATTCAATGGTTCTGGTTCACACCTTGGCGTATTTCAGCCCGTCCCTAACGCGCTACAAAACGGCCCACGCCTGAAAAGGTACATGTACTACTTTGGGCCGTTTTTGTTGCGCGTTTCCATTGGGATACAGCCAAGTAGCCCTCGGAAACGCGCGTTTGTCGCGTGATTTTTTTACCGCAATACGCCTATGTGTGAACCAGGGCTAAGGCTCTGTTCACACCTAGGCGTATCGAATATGCGCGTTTGTCGCGCGTTTCGTGACGTGCATTTTTACCGCGATTCGCGGTAAAAAAACCGCGCGACAGACGCGCGTTTCCTAGGGCTACTTGGCTGTATCCCAATGGAAACGCGCAACAAAAACACTGCAAAGAAGCTTATGCTTATGTAGCGCGTTCAGACGTGCTGAAATACGGCAAGGTGTGAACCATACCCATAGAAAACAATGGGATTTTCCTGTTTGAGCGTTTTGTAGAGCGTTCGTAGAGCGTTGAACGCGCTACAAAACGTACAGGTGTGAACCAGGCCTAATGCAGGTCTATGGAACCTGCATTAGACGTGATGACGTCAACAGACCTTACAGTTCCAGAGCCAAGAAGAGAAGAGGCTACAGGGACCAGTTTAGCAGCCCTAAGGTAGCTGGTGGGGAGTGGGGATCAGGTAAGCAAATCTGCTTCACCCCAGTTCCTAGACAAAAATGGGCACTTAACCCTTGCAGTGCAGGGGTAGCCCCACTATAAGGGTAGTTTTTTGTTTGTCCGGAGATGGACTTTATGTTAAGAAATAAAGATTTGGGCAAATGTGCAGAACATGTGAAGACCATTCTCACCATCTCGTCTTCATGCATCTATCACTACACCTTTGTGTTAACCTAAGTGTTACTATACCTTCCCACACTGCTTGTACGGGATTCTCTTGCTGTCGCAGTAGTCGTAGAGAAGAGAGGCACCTCTGACGCACAGCCTTGCTTTCAGAGACCCTGGTGTGTAATATATTCCGCTGTGTACAACTCCACTGTTATGTCCACTTTGGTGAGTCGCTGAGGAGACAATCAACATGCTACATATGAGTCTGGATGACAAAAGAAATACACAAATATCACTCATGCCAGACAATGTTCAGCTGTTCGGCCAAGTCTGACACTGACAGACTTTTTCCTCCAAACCAAACAAGTGCAAGCGGTCATAAATTGATTTTTATACCCCATCCGATTACCAGATTAGGTCTAAACAGGTACGTAAAAGTGTATTTAAACCCAAGAAAAGCATAATTCATACAGTGCAGCTTACCAAAACTTAGATCACTGCATCATTACATGCACCACATTTTTAGGCTTTTTTTTCCACTTTATTTCAACCCAGAGACCCTGCCAGGAACACCTTTCTTGTCCTAGGGTGACAACGCTCTCTCAATGTACTGAATCTATAAACCTATGACAGGAAGCATGTTAGGATTACAGAACACCTCCCCCCTCTCCTGACCTCCATAATATTGGGAAGCATTACAGTAATATCTATAGAGGGACCAGGAAATGATGATAACCAATAAGAGTGCAGCTGAAGCAATGAGCACAGAAAGTTGTAAGCTCACCAGAAAAGTATTTTTTTGCACCTAGATAAAAACATTTCCTGACACCTAGCAAATCTAAAGGTGCCTACAGACATTACAGTGTATGTAAGACGGAAACGTAAAACACCTGTTGATCCTGCCAGAAATCCATTGTGCTTGTAATTTCCAGTAGTGAGCTGACAACACAGTGCTTCTGCTGCACTGCGATCCTAGGGAGTCTGATCAACCATGCCCAGTTCACCTGTGAGCTACAGAACATCTTCCCCTATGTTATGGAGAGGAGAAGGGAAGCTGTTCTGTAGTCAAAAGTCACTCAGCCATAGATGCTGTACAGTAAGTGAGAGACAGGATCACCAGGTGATGATGAAGCCTGAAAACTAATGCAGCCACCACATGTAAGGACTAGAAAGCTGCAATATATTAAAGTGACATTTAACCCTCAGATTTTTTAACATAAACCAATACTGTGATGTGTGTCTTACTGTAATCCATGGTTGTTTAAATCTGTATCTGTTCTCATGCTGGGCAGAACTTCTGTTTTGCAGCAGACTGCCTTGTCTCAGGAATTGATACATGGTGTCTGTGTGTAGGTTTGTAACCTGAGCCAGCACTAGAGGAAGAGGCACTCAGCTGCAAAGGGAAGTTCTCCCCCAGCATGAGAACAGATACAGATTTAAAAGTAAGAGCAGCAAAGAGAAGGGAAAAGACCATGGATTACAGTAAGGCGCACATTACAGTATTGGTTTAATGTCACTTTAAGTTTATTTTTCCGTGGGTGTAGATACATAAGTAACCCATGATTTATTGGTCAGATAGTTAATGTTTGGAGAAGTGATGCAAGAACATGGACGCGGGGAAGGGGAAGTGCAGCACCAATCAATCTCACAGAATAAATCCCTGTCAGTCTTACCGATTTCATTCTCTTTCTCCAAGAGGGCAAAGCGCAGGGTTGGGTGGCGAAGGATGAGCTGTCGTGCAGATGCAAGACCCACAATTCCACCGCCAACGATGACAACGTCATATGTACTGAAATGAAAGAGATGTATTACTATACAGGTTTCAGCATGATGAGATGTCATACAAACATCTCATGACAAGATCAATATACAGACAGCCAGGCATTAACTCAGACCAGGAAGATGTCTTCATTGTCATACAGACCTATGTTTACACTGTACCATATGGACCCTAGGTTTATGCCCTACGGACCTATGCTGATACCCCTACACGCCTATGTTGATACCCCTACACGCCTATGTTGATACTCCTACACGCCTATGTTGATACCCCTACACGCCTATGTTGATACCCCTACACGCCTATGTTGATACCCCTACAGACCTATGTTGATACCCCTACAGACCTATGTTTATAGCCCTACAGACCTATGTTTATAGCCCTACAGACCTATGTTTATAGCCCTACAGATCTATGTTTATAGCCCTACAGATCTATGTTTATAGCCCTGCAGACCTATGTTTATTCCATGTAGAACTATATTTATACCATGCTGACCTATGTTTATACCATGCTGACCTATGTTTATGTTTAACAACTTCTTAAATGACATAAAATGGTTTCCGTTTATATATGATCTGCTTTGGATCTACTTTACATGTATATGCTGCATTTCACAATTAAAATTGAGAACGATCCTAGCAAATTTCTTTTTTTGTGGTAGAACCTTCGGTACATTCCTCAGTAAGACATTAGTTGTGTTTTTTTTCTGCCACTTTAAATCTAGCTAAAGCCTGATAATGGCCTAAAAATAAAAATTACTGACAAAAGTGTAAGAAGCGATGTGATTGGTTGTTCAGGGGCACAGCGTATAATTACCCTCTGCACCCTATTACTGATTAAAGCTGCTATTAAGCAAGACACTGGGGTCAAAATACACTTTTCTCTTGTGCTCAAGAATAAGAAAGTCAACACATAAATAAAGGAAGTATAAAATAATTGTAGTTGTATTATAAAGCCAGGTTTGATATGTAGATATGTTCCATGATATAAGTTGTAACACCTCCTATGTACTCTTTAGCTCACAATCTGCCTGCACACTGGGAGCTCTTGCTTTAAAGAAGTATTGGGAGAGTAAAATATACTCTTCCCAAAACTTAGAGCCGGCGTGGGACACTTCAGCTGCCACGAGTCGGCTCTATATACCGAGAACTGAGTGTTCATGTGACCACTGATCGCTCAGCTTACAGTCTCCTGCCTACAGAGAGCAGAGACCGTCAGTCACCGATCCCCACAGGAATCCCCCAGCACTCATTGAGGGGACAGATAGGGGAGGGGTTGGGCACAGCTGACTCTTGCTCTAGAGAGGCAGAGCCAGCTGTCAATCAGACATGAAAGTGGATATGGTCAGGATCTTTTGCGGAGGCAGCATGGCTCTGCGCTGTGAGCGGATAGTGGGCATTAGCCTTTGGGTCCCAGGAGTAGATTAGCAAATGTACTCCTCTGACCCAAAAGGAGGGAGGGAGGGAGGGAGGGGATATAAAAGGGTAAGGAACCTTTCACACAAAAATGGAGCACGTCACTTTTCAAGGGTGTGGAATTCTCGCCCGACACCAGGGAAATGCAGTTCCTGGGCGTCGGGCGGGTAGGTTTTTTTTTCTACATTTAGTCATGTTTCTGAAATTGCCAAATATTTATTGTGAGAAGTATCATTTTAAATCAATAATATTTTATTTCTGTATTTTCTTTTTCCCCAAATGAAAAAGAGAAACGATATATCAGAATGCAAATTGAATTACAGGGGCCAAGAGTAACCACACTAGTTTAAAGCGAAGCTCCCTGGTTGCTATGGGTTACTGAAGTCACGTGCTCCTCCCATGTTATGATAGCCATTCAATGTCCTATATATCCAGTGTGATATGCTGCCCCCCAGCGCCCGCCATAAGTACTGCAGCCCAAAGAGTGACCTGCGTCACAACACACAACCCCAGCACCTCCGTCCGCGTTACCTGAGAGCCCGCACCGCTTGGCCGCCCAGCCCGGACCTCCTCCTTCCCAGCAGGAGGGCCCCGCCAACCCACGTACAGCGGAGACAGGACATATCCCCCCCGCTCAACTAAGAGCCACACAGACACCAGGTTCTACCGGAGCCGCCGCCAGCCAATCACATCACTGCTCTCGCAGCCTATTGCACGGAGCTCCTCCCAAACCTGCTCGCATAGTTAATCAGGGACTCCGGAAGGACACGCAGGGTTAGAGTGTGCGACCAATAGGAGATGAGGAGCGGATGGGCACAAGCCAATTGAAGAGCCCGCGGGTAACTGTCGACCAATGGGCGTATTGTGATGAAGGTTGAAGGTAAAAGGGCGGGGCGTTCTGCAGAATGTTGACAGTGGCTACTGGAGGTGAGCATGTCATTGTTATTAAGAGCGTAGACATGTGTGCGTACATGCATGCTGAGAGCGACATCATGGTACATGCTGCTTTACATGTGTCATGTAACAAGCATACCATGGCACCACGTGTCTGTGTTAGAACTGCATCCCTCTGTCCATCCCTCGCAACTGTCCCTTTTTAGCACCTGATGTAGAGGTTGGTGCTACAAAAAAATGGATGCATTGTACACATGCTGATAGGGTGGAGAGCAGAGAGACAAGCTCAACAGTTTGCTGCTTCTCCTTTCACTGTCCGCTTCCAGTCTGGGGGACCGTGAAAAGTATTACTCACCATAAGTAGAGGTAAATCAGTCCGCTGCCCTTACAGACAGGGCTGTGCTGCGTGATGCAGCTGTGTAAATCTCAGAACTGGATGGACAGAATTACAAACCCTTTGCCAGGTAAAATATATCCCATATATGGATTCCATCTGCGTGCCCGGATGTGAGCGGGGGAGGTCACTTTAAATCAGCAGCTTGAGATAAAATAATGCCTGGCGGTCCTGCCATGAAGGTCCTTGTTACTGCTACAGGAAGTGCAGCTCAGTCCCCCCTCCCAACAGTGACTCAGCAGCTCAGCTCACCCTGCTTCCCTCTCTCAGCAGTGACTCTCCGTCCCTGGACTGGGCGCTGCGTCGGAGGCCGTCCCTGGACTGGGCGCTGCGTCGGAGGCCGTCCCTGGACCGGGCGCTGCGTCGGAGGTTGTCCCTGGACTGGGGGACCTGTCAGAATGCTCCCCCATGATCATCTTTGACTGGCATTGTGCGCAGTTATTGTAGTGACCACAAGGTGGCAGTGTTTGCATACACTTTCTTTATATTGAGACAATGTAGCCAGGCAGAATCATGTTGTGTTATTTGGACACAATGTTTTATCTGCTTATATTTTGCCTTTCCTGGTTCCTATATGAAAACTAAAAAAAAAATGTCAGAACAAAACCAAAAATGACATTTTGAAACCTTCTCTCCTCCCCGCTGGGCACCGGCCTGTGTCCCCTCGAATCCCCAACACAGGTGGGGGAGAGCAGCGGGAATCGGAGGGGACACAGACCGGCGCCCAGTGAGGAGGAGAGAAGCAGTCAGCATGCACTGAATTTTCAACCGAAGTTTCGGCTCACCCCTATTCCTAACCCTTGTATATAGATCAGCTTGTATTTCGGTTCATTGGATCTTTAAAGGATATTTTCTGCGTTGTCTCTTTTAGATCACAAGCTATGATTATCACCCGCTGTTTGCGCCCATCGTTCCTGGCCAAGCCACGCCTCCCACCCCTCTCTGGGTGCAGACAATTCTGGGGCTGGTTAAATGCTGTTTTTAACAGGTAGGTGCCATCACTTCTCAGACAGAGCGCAGTCCCTATGATTCCCCAGACCATGGCCAGGAGGTTTTTATTATTATTTATGTATTTATATAGCGCCAACAATTTACATTCGGAACATTCACATCAGTCCCTGCCCTCGAGGAGCTTACAATCTAAGGCCCCTACCTCACATGCATATACATAGAGGGCCAACTTAGACAGGAGCCAATTTACCCTCCTGCATGTCTTTGGAGTGTGGGAGGAAACCGGAGTACCTGAAGAAAACCCACGCAAGCACAGGGAGAACATGCAAACTCTATGCAGATAGTGACCTGACCAGGGACCCACCAGTGCTGCAAGGCAGAAGCTTGGTTTAGTTTCCCTGCAGTCAGATCTGGGAAAATATTAACCCTTTTGCTGCCATGGCCTTTTTGCACGATATTGGCACAACTCTTTACCTTACAAGCCCCAGATTGGTGGTGACAGGTCCTCTTTAAGGTCAGACTGGGGGTTCAAAAGACCCCCAGTGTCACCTTTACACTTTAAAGAAGCTATTGAAGTGCAGATCGGACTTCAGTAGCCTATTGCTGGGCTTCAGGAGCCGAGCAATGACAACTGTGGGACCAGAAAAGATGCAATCCGCGTCGCTCTCAGTCCCATAGAATGGGGAGGAGAATGGAGAACAGTTCCGGGCCCGCAGGAGGGGTAGCGGAGCCTGGGAAACATGGCAGGGTTGTCGGACACGTAGAGGGGTACTTTATTGGCCCATGGGGGGGGATGGGCCGAGCTGTCATCCAGGCAGGAGGAAGCAGCCGGCCGAGCTGTCAGCCAGGGGAGCACTGTTGGTCATCCGCATCACCCCCCATACACACACATGGCACCTTACAAATGAGATGTCACCTGAGGCCTCATTATAGGGATGCTCCTGACCCTAAGACAGGAAGTATGTAAGTTCAGATAGGATTGCTAAGAGGTCTATTTATAAACAATTTGCAGGGCTGTTTGCTCTAAGTTTTCTTTTCTGTAAAAGTGAAATAATCTTTTAACTGTTTTCATTTAATACCGCCTTATGGCCACTAGATGGCGCAAAGGAGCATAGGAAATAAGTATTTTATATGCTCATCAGCACCAACTAGTGGCCGTAATACAATATTGCATGAAATAAACATTCATAAAGACATTCCCTTGTACAGAAACCACTAAAAAATTTTATTTGGCATATATCCTCAGAGAACATTCACAGATATTCGCAGGGGGCAAATGGGCCTGAGAATAGTTTATAAATAGTAAAACTAGAGGGGGAATAAAACTAATGCAGCCACCTCATCTAAGGACTGGTAAGCTGCACTAAGTTATATATTTGTTCTTGGGGGCTGGATACAATTTAATTTAGATTTGTTGATGTGGATGGCTGCACGGGACCTTAGACTGCTGAGGGGGGAGGAAGGGGGGGGGAGAGGCTGCGGGGACCGCTTTAGCAGCCAAACAAGAGAAAGGATCCATGCTGCACACCTTACCGGGATTCCCATGTGGATGTACCAGCCGGTGCTCGAAATGACTGCGGATGGCGCCGCCACTTGCAGATAGTTGAACGTCACCAGCACACCAAAGCGATAGTTACAGCAGTTTAGGTGTTCATTTATTGGAGAACGCTGTCCCTCATATGCAAGTGCTTTTGGGGCCACGCAGGGTCATCTCTGAGTCTGATGAAGGGGACCCTGCGTGGCCCCGAAAAGAGCTTGAACACTTAAACTGCTGTAACTATCGCTGTAACAGGCAGAACCGAGGATCAGGCGAGTATATCTTTTTTTATTTTACGCCCTAGACCAAAGTGATCACGTAACCCTTGCAGCGCAAGGGTAGCCCCACAGCAAGGGTTCATTTTTATTCTGTCGGAGCCGACACTTAATTGTCATTTGCTGATGACAGAGATGAGCCGTTGCGCAACAATCTGCTCGTTCGTCTACATTTTCAGAGACGCACCAAATGAAGGATCACATTTTATTTTTGCTTTTTTACTTTTTTGGGCTTGGAAAAAAAAACCCCAAACAAAAAAACACACAGCAGACTTGGATGTGCTCTGCGATAAAGCATGTGCCATTTCATCCGCGCCGTGACGGCACAATATGACAGACACTCAGCAGATACAATGGATTATTGTGTCGGCGGCTCATGTATAGGTCAGTGTTGTTATCTTTTATCTGGAGTCAGTCAGCTCTGGAAGCACCTGTAAGCTGCCTCTGTTCCTTCAGAGCAATAGGATACCCTGCGCCTGTTATCTGGAGTCCTGCGGTAATCAAATCTGAGTCTTATTCAGACTTCGTCTATAATCACTAAACTTAATCCTGGGATACAGAGCGACAGCAGATAAACACAGTTACAGCTGACAGCACACTTGGTAATTAGGAATATAGAAGATTAAAAAAAATCTGATATTGCTGGGTGTGTTCCCTCGCCGCCCTTAACCCCTCAGATGCTGAAGGCATTGACTGTCCTTAATGGCAGCTGGCTGGTAGCTATAATACACTTGTATTTCCTAGTCTTGTGCCGACAAACTGGTGGGCATGCCAGTCTCCTGAAAAATACCCAAATTGGCCTTAGAAACCACCCCTACCCTTCTGCAAGGCATGAAATATGATACTGTTGAAGCTAAATATAAAATTTTGGGAGCTGGTGGCTGATCTAGAACTAATGGTAGTAGTAGATCTCACTGGCAGCCTAAATAAAAAATGTCACCTGGTGTGTGAGAGTAAAGCTGGCCATAAACGCGGGGCACACCCATGATACATGGAGGTTTTTAGTTTTATGTATAATGATCACTTATCCAATGATGGCCATTGCCAGTGATCTCTCAGTGATGGGCAAACCCCCCCAAAAAACGACTTTGTCTAGGGGCTGGAGGAAAGCAGATTTACTTACCTGACCCCAACTTCCCTGGTGGTCAGCGCTCACCTCTCTCCCCTCTGCCTGGCTGTTGGAATGTCACTTGGCATCCTCACCTCTATGGAACCTGCATTAGAAGTGATGGCATCAGCGGTCATTAGGCCTGTGGTGCCCAGGATGGAAGAGGGAGAGGCAACTGGCCCAGCAGCCCAGAGGGAGCAGGGATCGGGCAAGTAAATCTGCTTTACTCCAGTCCCTAAGCAGGACATGTACTTAACCCTAGCAGTGCAGGGGGTAGCCTTGCTGCGAGGGTACTTTTTTTGTTTCTTTGGAGATGTGCTTTAAAGAGTAACATTGGCTTAGTGGTTAGCACTTCTGCCCCAGTTTAGATCACGGCCAGGACATTACCTGCATGGAGTTTGCATGTTCTCCCTGTGCTTCCGTGGTTTTCCTCCAGGAACTCGCATAAAAGGGCCAACACACTAGGGCTGGGTACACATATACTGGTAATTTAGACAGGAGCCAATTAACCTGCCAGCATGTCTTTGAAATGTGGGAGGAAACCAGAGAGCCCGGAGGTAAGTGTGTGTGTGGGTCTAAAAATCCCAACTTCACCCTCCTAAGCAGGTAACTTCTCAATCATACTCCTTTCAAACATGAAACCACAGAAATTATAGAGGTTTCAAAAAAATTAGGCTGAAGCGCTCCAAAGATTGCAACACGGTCCGGGTAGTGGGATGCGGTGGAGCCTTTAAATTATACCTGCCCTTTTCCCCGTACAGTTGGCAGTGACAGGTACTCTTTAAGGTGATACTGGGGGTCCAAAAGACTCTTTCCACTTTAAATAAGCTACTGAAGTGCAGATCTCACTTCAATAGCTTATTGCTGGGCTTCAGAAGACCAGCACTGACAGCTCATGGACCGAAAGTGATGCAATCCGCAGCGCACCCGGTCCAATAGAGCGGGGAGGAGATCGGTGAATGGAATTTCGCCGATCTTCCCACCGGCACCCGACATGCCAGTCCCAGGCCCACAGGAGGGGCAATGGAGCCCAGGAAACCTGGCAGGGGTGTCGGATGGACGGACGGACGGGTGGGTGGGTACTTTACCAGCCCATGGAAGCGATCTGACGGCAGCTGAGCCTCCAGAATCGCATCCATTGTAAAGCCGAGTCCCGAGTCTGTTTAAATGGGCCCACTGCCACCGACGTAAGCCTTATGACGGTGGCAGCAAAAGGGTTAAAGGGTAATTCTACTTTCCCAGGTGAATTTAGGAAAATGAAATTACCTTCTTCACCCCCCCCACCTTTCAGCGAAAGCTCCTTCCCTCTTACCAAGAAGAGCTTCTCATTGGTCAGCGTGGCCAGGTTACTGCCCTGACCAATGAGTGCTCTCCATTTGCGAGCGAAATTCAAAATACATAGCACACTACGGGGTACGGATAGTGCACCAGCAGAGGGGAAGGAGCATTCACAGAAAGGTAAGTATGGGGGCTGGGGGAGAGAGAGGGGGCAAGATTGGAAGGGTAATTCCATTTTCCCAAATCCACCTTGGAAAGTGGAATGACCCTTTAAAGTAAACCTTTTTCTGTCTTCTGCACGGTCAAAGCACAGGCTGGCATTAAGAATCACTGTGTAGCTGAACTGTCCCTATGTGATCCCGGGCCCGTCACATGACATTATTTATTTAAACACTTGCAGAGTTGACTATGAACGTATCAAGGACGTGGGACCGGACCGGGCCGCCTCGGAGTGGTTATTACGCTGCGGAGCTAAAGTTCGTTATGAAGGATTTGACAAATGGCAATACGATTATAACGGCCTTCCCACCGGACCTCTGGGAAAATACAAGATTCAGGCCATTGACGCGACAGAGTCCTGCATTATGTCCCGAGGATTCGACCACTTGGGTGAGATCCAAACGCTCGGCATAGTTGTACATTATAAATAATGCTGGTGACCCCGACAATCATTTTATTCTGCTTTGAAGAATATGTAAACCCGAGTGCTGCTGATCTCCTGCAGCCTCGGATGATGTCTGCGTAATACATGCCATGTCTTCAGAACCCGACAGCCAACCTCTTGTGGCTTTTGCTAATGATAGCAGACACCGGTTAAATGACCCCTTTTAGGTTTGAACATGAACACAGGATTGTAGTCCTCTCTGCAGCTGGCCGTGCCTCTTATAAATGGCTTTACACAAGTATCATGGCAGATTTCAGAAGAAACAGCAATGACACCCCGCAGGGGGAGGAAGACTCTGAATTATCATCGCTGCTACTGTATTCCTTCCTGTGATACAATGTTATTGTAGAGATGGAGCTCTCGTTGAGCATTGTATGTTTTCTTGGACAGAAGTAGCCACTGGAAAGTAAACACAAAGGGAGCGCCTTTCCTAGTGCAGATCAATTTATTTCAATAAGCATGAAGTAAAAAGGAGATAAAATGGTACTCACAAACATGAGTGTTACACAGGCATGGAATGGGAGCTGACATGCAGTAAGGCATCCACTAGACAATTCCTGTGTGTGATGACGTTGACGCGTTTCCGTGGCACGCCCCCTTCATCAGAACGGTCTCATCAGGTTCTGATGAAGGGGGCGTGCCCCGGAAACGCGTCAACGTCATCACACACAGGAATTGTCTAGTGGATGCCTTACTGCATGTCAGCTCCCATTCCATGCCTGTGTAACACTCATGTTTGTGAGTACCATTTTATCTCCTTTTTACTTCATGCTTATTGAAATAAATTGATCTGCACTAGGAAAGGCGCTCCCTTTGTGTTTACTTTCCAGATTTCCAGCTTTCCCGGCTTCTTTGGGGCAGCATCCTGCAGTATGCCTGAGAAGATTTCCCAGTGAGGGCTGATAGTTAGTGGCGCTTCATTGTTTTTACTGTGTTAGAAGTAGCCACTGAGTCTATTATACAGGCAATGTTTGGTGTTATCTGGGGTGCTTCAGGGTCCCAGGGATCAGCACTGGATCATCCACAAGGCAAACTAGACAGGAGTCTAGGGCCGATGGGTGTCCAGGGGGGCCAAACTTAACCTGGCCATACACCTATAGATTATCTGCAGATTTTTTAAGGTCAGATGGAAAAAGTGCAACAGATTCCTCCATCTACGTTATACTGTGTGGATGGAGGAATCTCCCGCTGGGCCAAGCTTCAGTGTCTTGCTAGTCGGGAGGCAGGGCATCGCCGCTCTTCAGCATCACAGCCTCTGAAAAGCGTTGTCACCTAAGTTCATATATATGTCTATTTATCTGTTTGCTGGAAATGCCCTTTAGTGGGTGTCTGATGGGTTCTAACTAAAATGTCATATTTGCTTCTAAGATGGACTGGAGCACCTTGAGGAGCTGAAACTGTGTCAATGTATATATATTGAGGACACGTGTCTAGAGAGAATAAGCAAGACAGACAACCTTCAGAAGAGTCTCAGAAGACTGGAAATCATCAGCTGCGGGAATGTGACGGATAAAGGTGTCATATCTCTGCACTCCTTGAGGTGGGTCACTGGAAGCCTGATCTGCAGATTGATTTGTCATTTTAGGCTTTAGGGTTAAAGTCAGTCTCTCCAAGCTTCGTTTCAGGATGGGGCAAGGCGATTTATATTGCTTAAGTGAAGCAGTTCATTAAACTCTGCGCCCCTTTATAAAATACTATAGATGTATCAAGCACCCTGTGGTGTGAATTTGCTTGGGTCAGGTAGTCATTTAGATTAAATAGCCAAAAGTTTGAGGACACTGGACCTCCACACCTCCCTATATGGCCAAAATTATGTAGGGACCCCACCAGATTATTTAGTTCAGGTGTCTCCAGTGAAGAGTATTGTTAATGCTAAAGCAGGCAATGACAATTTAGACAACTGTGCTCTTCCAACCTTGTGGTAACAGTTTAGGGAAGGTCCTTTTCTGTTCCAATATGACTGTCCCCTGTGTACAAAGCCAGCCCCATAAAGACATGGCTTGATGAGTTTGGTGTGGAGGAACTCTGCTCATAGCCCTGACTTCAACCCTACTGAACACCTTTGGGATGAATTGGAATGCCAATTGTGAGCCAGGTCTTCTCATCCATCATCAGTACCTGAATGCACACATGGGCACAGATTCCAACAGTTACCCTCCAAAGTCTTGTGGAAAGTCTCCCCAGAAGAGCGAAGTCAGTTATACCTGCAAAAGGGGAAGGGCAATATCATATTAATGACCATGATTTTGGAATGGGATGCCCGATAAACTTATAGGTGTGAGGGTCTGGAGTCAAAAAACCTTTGGCCATATAATGTATGTGAGATCACTTATTCCTTGAAATGTGTATAATCTGTCTCCTAACAGTCCTTAGCATTGTTATCTAACAGTGTTCCTTTACCGTTTTTTTTAGTATGACTTAAGCTGGCCATACCTTGCTCAAATTTCGGATGAGTCCTGCTGACTTAGCCAAAATTCAAGCAGGGTGTTGGTCAAGTTGAGTCAAAAGTTGGTCAAGAATTGGTCAAAACTCAAGACCCCCTTGTTCAGCAAAACTTTTGTCAAATGAGCTGGTCTGAAATTTTTCAGCGAAACAGTGAATGCTCTCAATCAGAATACAGGCTGAGCCCAATGAACCTCAACCATGCTGTTGTATTTTAAACATTGATACAACCCTATATATATGGGACACAGTGTTCAGCGTTAAGGTGGCCACGGAGGATTTTGCAAAATCAATTGAATGGCGGCTCTGTGGTTTAAGATTTGTATTCATTTGATCATTTTAGTTGCATGGAATGATTGATTGAATGATACATATTGATACATGTTACATAGTATTTGAGGTTGAATAAAGACATTAGTCCATTAAGTCCAACCTATTAGGATCTCATTCTAGGAGTACCCGTACCTTAAGAAATCGTCCAAGAGTTTCTTGAACAATTCCACATTAGTTGCTGAAATCACCACATGTGGCAGTGAGTTCCAGACCCTACCCGCTCTAACTGTAAAGAACCCCCTTTGCCCCTTGAGCTGGAATTTTTTTTTTCCACCAATTTTAGGTTATGGCCTCTAGTTTTTGTAATGGAATTAATTTTAAACAGTTTATCGCCAATGTTGCTACCACCATTGAACATTTTGTACATGGAGATCATATCCCCCCTTAATCTCCTCACCTCCAATGTGAACATGTTTAAATTTAGTAGCCTCGTCTCGTAGCTCTGGTCCTCAGTACCCCTAATTAGTTTGGTTGCCCTCCGCTGGACTTTTTCCAACTCAAGGACATCTTTTCTTAGTACTGGTGACCACAACTGGACCGCGTACTCGAGATGAGGCCGAACCAGTGATCCATAAAGAGGCAAAATTATAGACTTGTCCCTGCAATACATCCCCTTCTTAATACAGGACAAGACCCTGCTAGCTTTGTTTACAGCAGCCTGGCACTGAAAACTACCTTTTCAGTTTGTGGCTACAATGACCCCCAAATCCTTCTCCATTTCT